AGTGTTACAAAACATGTTCTCTCCCCTCCCTACCTGTGAGGACACTGACAAGAAACAAAGGTAAAATGGAGGAACTAGGGGCCTCAATCCCGTTTCCCACCAGTCCTTGGGCCTCCTCAAGCTATGGCTTCCCGTTGTTGCCTGTTATTTATTGCTGGTACCAACGAGAGTGTTTCCTCTCCAGTTGGCTTCCTCTCTGGTCATCAGCCAGATAATTGCTAGGTTTTTGGATGGCCCCAAAGCTTTTGTCAACTCCCCCAAAGGAATCCAGCTCCTTCCCAGCTACATCAGGAAGGCCTCCTTGAATGGTAAGTCTCAAAGGCCAGACAGAATGAACTTCCTCCCTTATGCCTCAACAATTTAGTTGGAGAGATTATAGCCCCCAATAGCCTATGAACATATCCTTCTGTGGATTCCTGTCCTTGGCCCCAAAAGTGCCAGATGTTCAATTCCTTCTCTGAGTTCAAATCTTTTTCCTTGTAGTTTTAACCTATGGGGTCCCAGCTCTACCCCTTTCGATTTCACAGAACAACTGCACTCTCCTTGCTAAGGCAGCCTCTCAGAGATTCCAACACAGAGAACACATCTCCTCTTTTTTTTTTATTTGTTAAATTTATTTTCGAGAGAGAGAAACATTGATTTGTTGTTCCACATATTTATGCATTCATTGGTTGATTCTTATATGTACCCTGACTGGGCATTGAACCAGAACCTTGTGTCATGTTGGGATGATGCTCTAACCAACTGAGCTATCTGGCCAGGGCACATCTCGTCTTGTGTGTTCTCCAAGCCAAACAGCCTTATTCACTCTAAACAGAGTAGTACAGCAGGGAAAAGCTTTATTTTTGGAACTCCATATCACAACTTACTAACTACATAACCTAAACTGTGTTCTTTCACCTCTCATAGAAAGGATCTTTGTGAGAATTAAAGCACTTGCCCAGGGCTACTCCATAATAGATACTCAATAAATGATATTTCTCAAAATGACCAGTCTTCATGATGGGAAGTCATGAACTTCCTGGTTTTCTCCCTTTCCTTTCCTCCACCAATGAAAGATGAAAGTTTCTCAAGGGCTTTCTTTGGGAAGCGGTAACTTTCAGAACTAGCATACCAATCTGGCCAGAGATCCCTACCATCTAGGCTTCCCTCAGAACCACACCCACAGTACGCAAACCAAACCAACACTAACAAAGAATGACTAGGCATTGGGACTTTTCGAAATTAATAAACTTCTTTGTTCAAGGATTTTTCTGCCCCGGGCTTTAAATTATGCCTTCCTCACCCTCCATAGCTATCCCCCTCCAATGCAAATGAACAAAGCCCCCAGTGTTGAGTACAGGGGATGGCGTCATTTGTCTTGAAAAGAGTAGGGTGTAAATCAGGGCTCTGGGAAGGAGTCTGGGTAGAGTTCGAAGAAGCCTCTGGTTCCCTGCTGCACCATAAAACCCACAATGGCTGATACTCCCCTCTATAGCTGCTGCCCAGAGTGACATTGCTTTATGAAGCAAAGGGTCAAATAGCCTTTGGAGTATACAGACAGTCTCCCTTTAGTCCCAGAGACATTAAGAAGCCTGTCCAGTAAGAGATGTCCTGCATGCCAGGTATTCTTTCCCTCCCTCACACATATGCCAACTGCTAATCATACTCAAGTGAGGCATTTCTTTCTTTTTTATAGAAGGGAGTCATATGAACTCAAAACAGTGGATTTAGAAATGAGAAAGGGATGCAGAATGCAGAAACAAATGCTGGAGATAAATTTTTGAAAGATAGCCATAAATGGCAATAAGTAGAGACTTGACTTGGGGTGGTGAACACAATACAGTGTACAGATGATGCGTTGTAGAATTATGCACCTGAAACCTGTATAATTTTGTTAACCAGTGTCACCCCAATAAATTCAATAGGCAGAAAGATAACCAGACTTGAGAGATCAATTAGACATTGTACAGATGGGCAAACTGAGGCCCCAAAAAGAAAAAGGCTTGTATAAGGTACCAGGAGAGTTATCAGTACAAGCAGCCCTAGGGCCCAAGATTTCTAACTTTCTATCCAGTGCCCTTTCAAGTTTACCAGGCTGTTCCTTTAAAAGCTCTCCAATTAAAACCTGCATACAAGCCCTGACTGGTGTGGCTCAATGGGTTGAGTGTAAACTCATCAACTGAAAGGTCACAGCTAGATTCCCCGTCAGTGCACGTGCCTGGGTTGTAGGCCAGGTTCCTGGCTGGGGACGTGCAAGAGGGCAACCTATTGATGTTTCTCTTGCACATTAATGGTTCTGTCCCTTTCTTTCTCCCTCCCTTCCCCTCTCTCTAAAAATAAATAAAATCTTTTTAAAAATAAATAAATAAAAAATTTAAAAAAAATAATAAAATGCAACCTGCATACAAAGGGAGAATGCAAAGCCTTAATATAATCAAAATGCACTCATTCTAGGCTAGCACTGTAATCACCTGTGAGCTATGTGAATGTTAGCATAGTACTTTAATGTAGTAAATGTGTGTTTAAATGTTCCTCTAACTAGTTTGTACTTTCACAAATTAAATATTAATGATTACCCTTCACTATTACAAACAAAAACTCCAGAGAAAAGCAAGTTCCAGCTAAAATCAAAGTTGGATACTCTGAGGATCTTCAAGCCTATCTCCCAACTCTATCTGTTTAACAAGACAAGAAGTATCATGGCATTTGGGTGCTATCATTTATTACATTTCTACTATATGCTGGATGCTTCACATAACACTTGCTTCCTTATTTGTATTTTCTCATTGTCTTTCTCACCTATTTCTAATTTATCTTTTTGAATTTTATGTATCCTTATAAACCACTATAACAAGTTTTTTAGGGGGTAACAAGTGATAAATAATATACTCATTCATAACCTCACAAAAAGCCTTTGAGATAGGCATTACACCAACTTTTTTTAAATGAAAATGCCAAACAGGAGAGGTTCAACGATTTTCATAAGGCCTAGCTAGGAAAATGAAGATTCTGTATCCTCATCTGTAAAATGGGGCCAGCACTAATTTCCACACTCAAAGGACTTTGTGACAGTCAAATGATAGGGTACACAAAATGCCTGTCACAGTACCTAGCATACAGTAAGTCTTGGACAAATGTTAACTCTCATCTGTATTAGGCATAAACAGTTTGCTCAGTCTACCATGTGATATCAGGGACCTGGAGGGGTATGCCCTACCAAGCTTTCCTCAGATATCTAATTATCCCTTTCTTCCTTTTACAGGGAGACCTGAATAGAAAACAGCCCTACCCTGGCTGGTGTGGCTCAGTGGACTGAATGTTGGCCTATGAAGTGAAAGGTTGCCAGTTAGATTCCCAGTTAGGTCATGTGCCTGGGTTGGGGGCACTGGTGTGAGAGGCAACTGGTTGATGATGTATCTCTCACACACTGATGTTTCTCTCCCTCTCTATCTCCCTTCTGTCCTTTCTCTCTAAGAAAATAGATAAATAAATAAAATCTTTAAAAAAGAAATAAAACAGCCCCTTACCATCTCCATCCTCTCCATAATTATCTTCCCCCTCACCAGTCAGGAGTATTTGCAGGAATAGAATTATTTCATTTGAATATAACCTCTTTTGTCTTTCTTCCTTACCCTTCCCAATTTTAGGGAAGCTCTCAGACTGTAGAGGCACTCTGAGGGCAAAGAAAAAAGGAAAGCAAGAGTGCCTGGAAAATTCATCAAGGTAATATGTGGTCCTAACATCCTGGACAATGTCAGAATAGCCCATGTGGAGGAATCCCAGCTACATTTTCACTTCTGAAATTCTGGTCACAGAAAGCATATCCCCTTTGCCCCTGGAGAGATTTTGAATGCTGAAAGATTCTGTGGCCCCCACCTGGCTATTCCATAGCACATCTCTTCTAATAATAATGACTTGCAGCAAAGGGATATACCATTTGGGTTGGAGATAGGAATGACCACATCAATATCATCTTCATGGCATGACTACAGGAGATGAAACACCCTCCTATTGAATTAATCATCCTCAGGGGTATCCTAAATCCTAATATTCCTTTGAGGGAGATGTACATAAAGTATACAACCTCAGGGACATTAAGTCAGTTTCTGTGTACTAGAAAACAATAACATACATGTGACAAAGGCCATGTGGTACAGTGACGAGAATGTGGAGTTTAAATCCCAGCCAAATACCAGCTAGATGAATTAAGTTCTTTAATTTCTGAGCCTTATCATTAAAATGGAGAAGAGATCGCTTACTTCTTTCAGAGTTCAGAGGAAGGCTCAGTAAGCTAACATTTCTATTTTTTTATTTTACTTTTAAATTACAGTTTACATTAAATATTATTCTGTATTAGTTCCAGGTACACAACATAGTGGTTATATAATCATATACTTTACAAAATGCTCCCCTGATATTTCCAGTACCCACCTGGCACCACACATAGTTATTACAGTACTACTGACTATATTCCCTATGCTGTACTTTATATCCCCATGACTATTTTGTGACTACTAATTTCTACTTCTTTTTAAGATTTTATTTATTACTTTTAGAGAGAGGGGAAGGGAGGAAGAGAGGGAGAGAAACAACAATGTGTGGCTGCCCCTCATGCATCCCCTACCGGGGACCTGGCCTGCAACCCAGTCATGTGCCCTGACTGGGAATCAAACCAGCGAGCCTTTGGTTTTCGGGCCAGTACTCAATCCACTGAGCCACACTAGCCAGGGTCAATTTCTACTTCTTCATCCCTTTGCCTTTTTCACCCAGCCCCCCAATCCTTTCTTTGTTTGGAGCATCTAGCATGGAATCATACCCAACTTGCTTCTCTTTTCTACCATGTTCATGACCAAGGACAGGATTAATCAGAGCCATCCAAGGCACAGGATGCCAAAGTTAAACTTTGCCTCCTTTGTCATTAAGACCTATCTTAGAGAAGCAAGTAGGAAAAGAATTTCCCAAGAAGTGGGCATTGGGAAAAGTGGAAGAGGCTAAGGGGCAATGAGTTTGTCCCTTACCTGGTCAAACAACTGCTTGCCGGTGGTGTTGGGCTGGATGGCAAACTCCAGCTCTGCGTCCATGGTGGTCACACGCACATTGATCTAGGATGAGATCAAAGGAAGCAAGTTAGTTGTCTGGCTCTGTGCTCAGCAGAGTCTGGGACAAGTGTCTCTGCCCAACCACAGAAGATAGAACTAGGATGTTAAGAACCTGAGCAACTTAGATATTGGTGGCACGGAAAGGAGAATATTGGAGTGAACAAACAATAACCCGGACTCGGTTTCCAACTAGCTTACTACTGAAGATAAAAAACACAGCAACAGAGCAATGCTTACCAAGGGGCAAACAAAATGAATGGAAATCAGCTCACTATCAAGAGGAAGAAAGTGCTGACTATACTTCTTCCAGGAAGCCTTCCCCACCTACTCCAGCCAGCCCTAAGCCCACAGTGTTCTGTCTCCACCTCTGATTTACAGCCTGGATTATCTGCAGCACTGGTCTTTGGAGAGCCAACTTAAGGACAGGATAAAGAACACTGGGTTCCAAGCCTAGTACTATAACTGGCACTATCTACAACCTTGGATGAGTCTTATTCCTTCCCTGAACCTTCGTTCCCCTCATCTGTTTCAGAGAAGGAATGGGGGTGCTGGGGTCAATTACACTAGGTGATAACTAAGGACCATTTTGGTACTGATGTCTACAGTTCTGTATACTAACTTGCATTATTAATGTTTCTTGTATCATGCCTCATTGGCCTCCTTAGGCACTAGCGAGGAAAGAAGCTTCAGCAGAAGTAGGTTGGGTATCATTGAAGTGCTACCAACGCCAAGTCAGCAGAGGAAAAAGGAACAGAGAGAGCCCTAGATCTTTAAAAAAGCAGGTAGCCACACACAAGATTTCATAGGCACTAACAAAAGTATCCTCTATCTTCATGAATAGATCCCCTAGCCCAAGTCAATTATAGCTGAAATTTCTTCAGTACAGATTTCTTCCTTTGGCTGAAAACTTGGTAGTTTCCAGGTGGTAACAGTAGTAATAGCAACAATAAGCAGTAGCTTTAATGTATGGAATCTTACTACTCAGTATGCACCACCCAATTTAATATCAAAACTCACCCTGTGAAGTAGAGGGTATCATCTCTACAGTGAGGGTGATGAAGTATATATCTGTCTAAAGTCACATCACTAGTTAAGTGAACACATGATGTGAATTTACATATAAGTCCAAACCTCAAATTTAAACCAATATGGTAACCATCTCTTACATCAAAGTGTAAAATGTCTTCCATTAAAAGAAATCAGCCCTGAGCTGTATGGCTCAATGGGTTCAATGTCGTTCTGCAAAACAAAAGTTTGCTTATTCAACTCCCAGTCAGGGCATATGGCTGGGTTGCTGCTTAGGTCCCCAGCTGGGGCACATACAAGAGGCAACCAATCAATGTTTCTCTCTCATATAGATGTTTCTCCCCCTCTCTTTCTCCCTCTCTTACCTTCTTGCTAAAAATAAATAAAATATTAAAAAAAAGAAATCAAAGTTTTTAAATTGTTGGAAATTTTACTTAAATAATCTATATGGTACAGACACAAGATGACTTGTTAAATGATCATACAAAATATTTATGAACAGTATTTCATGCCCAGGAAAAATACCTCAGTAATATTAAGTGAGGAAGAGTAAGCAACGAGATGATATGAGCTCAATTTTGTAAAAACTATGCATAGGGAGAAGATTAGAATCACATCCAAGTGTGTTAGGCTTAGTTTTGGGGTGGTGATCTTATGACTATATTTTACATTTTTTCTAGGATGTTCACATACTACTTATACTACTGGTGAGGAGACTAAGAATAGAATTGTCAAATATGAAAATCCCCATGGAATGGGTAAAACATTAAGCCTTATCAGTCTTTGACACCTCTGGGCCTTTCCTGAGTACAGGGGTCAGTTAGCGGGGAAGAGGAGGCCAGACAGCCATTTTGCTAGCGAAACAATTCCGATGAGGACCAGGCCTGGGGAACAACTTTGTAAATAAATCTCACCAGGGAGCCAGGGAGGAAATCTATTTCAGGATTGACAATGGGACAGGAAAAGCCCTGAAGGCAGGAACAAGTAAGGCAAGTACCCCAGTGGGAAGCAATGGACAAGGTTAGCTACCTAGACTTGGTGTTACTGGATTTAAACAGATATCTACTTCTTCACCCTCACCGTGGACTGGCTTTCTGCCAATCCAATGACCTCCATAGAATAGGGCCTCATCAAGTAGGGAGAATGAGGCCCAGTGGGCTAGAATTTGGCCTCAAATCACCCACCCTTGAGCTGGGTCAGGAGAGACTTCAAAACACCAGTGACTGAGGGAATAGGAAAAAGTGGAAAAGGGACAGTGGGTCTTTTAGTACCTTGGACTTCATTCTTACCTCAAGGTTACTACTGTCCTACTTAGAGTTACCACTCCAATACGCAAGACTCAGTGGATACACACAAGATGTTGACTAAATAAATAGTACTAAACAAGGGGATATAAGAGAAAGATATAGCATAGCACACAGATTTCAAAAGTGGTAACACTTTACATCTTGTGCCATGAACCCTTCTGGAAAGTCTGGTGAAATCTATGGATTCCTCCTCAGAATATTAAAGATGCATAAAATAAAGTAGATAAAAAGAAGCCAATTATATTGAAGTAGTTATCAGAATTTAATATGTACTCCTTTATTATCATTTTAAATAATTACCTAACACTGGGTCTTATTAGTTATTACCATCTTAATTTCAACATTGTGTTGAGCATAAATAATATTCTGAGATATCTATACTAACTAAATTGTGATATAAAAGTATCTTTGACTTCCATTGGTGACAAAGTCACAGATATTGCCATTACTACTTCCTTTTTTTAAACTATATTCATTATTGGAAAAGGGGTTAAATTTAGTAAGAGTGAAAACCAATACGTAATTTTCCTCCATCCAGTTGTATCCTTCAGACTTTTAATTAAATCTACAGATCCCATGGAGGTCCAAGGATTCCAGGTTAGGGAGCTTCCTATAAATTTCAGTTCACCGAATATTAATGGAACACTGTGTTTAAGGAACTATGGTGAGAATAGAGTTGTAGGACCAATCCCTGACCACAAGGCACTTACTGAGTAACAGAAAATTGTATAAAGGAGAGACATCCTGCCCTGGCTGGTGTGGCTCAGTGGACTGAGTGCGGCCCTACACACTGGAAGGTTGCTGGTTCGATTCCCCACTGGGGCACATGCCTGGGTTGCAGGCCAGGTCACGCAAAGGGCAACTAATTTCCCCCACACGTCGATATTTCTTCCTCTCTCTCTCTCCCTCCCTTCCTCTCTTTCTAAAAATAAAGGAATAAAATCTTTTTTTTAATAAGAGAGATATCCTAAGAAGTGCCATAGTAGAACAGAAAAAGCCTTCTGTGAAAATGAAACAAAAATACAGTTCAGCCTAGTTGGTGTAGCTCAGTGGATTGAGTGCAGACTGCAAACCAAAGGGTCGCTGGTTTGATTCCCAGTCAGGGCACATGCCTGGGTTGCAGGCCAGGTCCCCAGTGGGGGCCATGTGAAAGGCAACCACACATTGATATTTCTCTCTCTCTTTCTCCCTCCCTTCCCCTCTCTAAAAATAAATAAATAAAATCTTTAAGAAAACACAATTCAGTGGTATTTGCACTGGTCTCTAAGTATAAGCTGGACTTTGAAAAAAGGAGTCTGTGGGACTAGGGGTAAGACCACTCAAATGTCCTAGGTAGCGAGATGTATGATGGCCCACAAGGGACAGCAATGAAGAAGCAAGCATGCAAGCCTACTCCAGGATGAATAAGGCCAGCAAAGTGAAGAGTGGGCAAGAAGCTGAGTAAGTGGAGGGCCTTGAAGACTATGCTAGAAAGCTTGGCCTTAATCCTGTCAGCAATGGACAGCCAGCTTGGAGGTCCTGAGCAGGGTGGGGCAGAATGTGAACAGGGCTTTTTGGAAGAACGTACCCAGGAAGGAAACTGAGGAAAGGGATGGGATTCCAGGGCCACATTCCACAGCCTAGGAGTTCCCTTTAATTCACGCTATTAGGAAGATTTTTCAAAGGATGTCAATCACAGGTTATGTCAATTTAGCATCTTTGGGGCTTAGCCCACAGGCCCAAATATTGAATTCAAATATTCATTACAGAAAAGGGATTAAGAAGTACAAATTGGGAGTTATAAAACAGTCACAGGGATATAAAGTACAACACAGAGAATAAAGTCAATAATACTGTAATAACTGTATTATAATAATTGTATGTATGGTGCCAGGTGGGTATTAGACTTACTGGGGAGTTTACCTGTAAGTTACATTAATGTCTAACCACTATGCAGTAAACCTGAAATTAATATAATACTGAAAGTCAATTGTAATTGAAAAATAAATAAATAATAATAAAAAGAAATGCATCTTAAATAAATCAATTAATAGAAAAGCATCCAGCCTATGTTAGGAATAAATATGTCAGAGAGTCTACTGTTGTCCACATGTCCTCCCTCAGAACAAGGGCTCTTCTAAAGTTCTCAGCAGAGAACTAATTCTGAAGATGTCCAGCTGAAACCAAGCTGGAACCTACTTCCCCAGAATCCCTGCTTAGGGTTTCTGCCATTCCACTGTGGCTGCTTCTCCAGGGAGGGCAGTATGAGGTTTCTTGAATTTCACTGTGGAGACAAATAATCTTACATTAAAAAAAATAGAAAGAGGGCCTGTGGATTGAGCACCAGCCTGCAAACCAAAGAGCTGCTGGTTCAATTCCCAGTCGAGGACACATGCCTGGGTTGCAGGCCAGGTCCCCAGTAGAGGGTGCTCAAGAGGCAACCTTACATTGATGTTTCCCTCTCTCTCTCTGCCTTCCCCTCTATAAAAATAAATAAAATCTTAAAAAGTAAAAAAGTAGAAAGAAAAGCAAACACAAAGGGACTTCTATTCTTGCCACCACTTAACTCAGAAGAAAATGTGAGTCATGAGGTCAGGGTCATGCATCCGTGCTCCTCATTTTCTGTGTGTTGGTGGTAGAGAGGAGTAGGATAATAACATAACTTAAACCTAAAGGTGACAGATAGAACAG